GGGGTCATTTTTTAGGGGGTTTGGGCATGATTTCTTAGGGGGAGTTGTGGGATTTTTTAGGAGGTTTTGGGGAGTGATTTTTTAGGGGCTTCGGGGTGGTATTTTAAGGAGTTTTGGGGGTGATTTTTAGGGGGCTTTGGGGTGATTTTTTAGGGGGCTTTGGGGTGATTTTTTAGGGGGTTTCGGGTGATTTTTTAGGGGGCTTTGGGGTGATTTTTAGGGGGTTTGGGGGTGATTTTTTAGGGGGTTTGGGTGATTTTTCAGGGGTTTTGGGAGGTTTCTGAGGGTGTCGGTGCCCGTGTGCCCCCCCGGGGTCCCAGCCCCACGTGTGTCCCCAGGGATCGAGGCCACCACAGTGTTCTGGCCGGCCCAGCCCCGGGGCAGCGCCCGGCCCGTCCTCTTCCAGCTGCACTTCTGGGACTGCGGGGACGGAGCCCTGAGGAAGTTCGAGCACCTGCTGCCCGTGAGTCCCTTTTTTGGGGCGGGAGGACCCCCCCGGGACCCCCCAGACGTTGTTTGTCCCCCCCCAGGCCTGTCGGGAGGAGCTGGACGCCGTCCTGGTGCTGTTCTCCTTCACCGACCGCGCGTCCTTCGAGGAGCTGCCGGCGCAGCTGAGCCGCCTCGCGGGGCACGGGCTCGTCACCGTGGTCGTGGGCACCAAGTATCCTTTTGGGGGGTCCCCTGGGGGGGGGGCAGCGCCCCACGAAGGGGGTTTGCACCCCCAGAGTCCTCCCGAGTGGGATCTCGTGTGGCTGAGAACGGGTGGCACCTCATTACACTGATGGGGTCACGAATCCCAGTGGTTTTTAGGAGGCTTGTTGGGGGGTCTTTGGGGTGTTGGGGTCTCCTCTGACCCTGTGTCACCCCCCACCCCCCCCAGGCCAGGTTTGCACCCCCAGATTTCACCCCACTTGGAACCTCAGCAGGCTGAGAACAGGCAACACTTCGTTACACTGATGGATTGGCAACTCCCACTGATTTTCAGGGGATCTGGGGGCATATTTTGGGTGTTGGTGTCACCCTTGGCCCCGTGTCCCCATCTGCACCCCAACATTTCACCTCACTCCATCCCTGGGCGGGCTGAGAACAGGCAACACTTCATTACATGAATGAACTCCATGGGTTCACGGCATCCACTGATTTTTAGGGAGTTTTGGGAGGATTTGTGGGGTGTTGGTGTCACTCGTGACCCCGTGTCCCCCCCAGGGCAGGTTCACCCCATCCCGTCTTCCCCCTGCAGAGCCCGTTCCCAGCTCATCACACCGATGGATCCGCAGCTCCCGCGGGGTTTGGGGGGGGGGTTAGGGGGATTTTGGGGGGTGTTGGGGGGGTTTTGGGGTGCTGCCGTTTCCCTTGACCCCCCGTGTGCCCAGGTCCGACCTGTCCCCGCACGCGGCCGTCACCGAGCGGGACGTGCGGGCTCTCGAGGCCGCGCGGGGGCTGCGGGTGCTGCGGGCGGGGGCGGCCCCGGGGGGGGCGCGGGCCGGGCTCGCCCGGGCGGCCCCGATCCTCGATTCCCTGGCGGAGCAGCTCTGGAAAAGGGACCAGGTCGCCGCCGGGGTGGCCCGGGGGGAGGAGGGGACCCCCCCCAGCTGAACCCCCTGTCAGGGGGCGGCTCCGGGGGGAGGCGGGAGGGGGAAAAGTGCTTTTGGACTAAAATCTGTGTTTTCTATGAAAAATATCCCGGGGTGCCTAAACTTCCTAAATGTTCCTGAAAT